CACACACACACACACACGTATGACGTATATAAAAAATTCTATACCGAGCGCGAAACCGGCAGTAAATTCAGCAGGACTTCGTGTGACGTATCGGTAGTAGTGCCATTGCGCACACGGTCCAGCTGACTCATATTCAGACGCCAAGCGAAAAAGGTTTCGGTAAGTCCAAGGCTGACTGTAAACGTAATGTGTTCACCGAGCTGCGCTCAGGAAGGGTAGTTCACGGCTTTAAGTGCCAAACCTACCAAGAGGCGTATTCCTGACTATCACATCTTATCGTCGCAGTATCAGTCGAGCGTGTTTTCGTTTCGGAGGTTCGGGATATGGATTGTGTCCGGGGCATCAGAGATCGATTTTTTTTTCTTCTTGTTACTTTCAGCGAATTGGATATGTGGGTAGTAGTCAAGCAACTCGAAACAGTCCCCAAGCCCATACCACCCCACGGCTATTTTCTCAGGGCCATAGGGCCATGGACGAAGTAGGCAGTTGACAGGTCGTTTTGTCCGCACACCATACATCCTCGTTGCCGATATGCGATATGAAAAGAGGTAGTTAATCAAGTGCATGGCCAAGGACTTGGCGGGCGGAGAGGAAGACCAAGGCTTGGCCCTCTGGCGGAGGGACGACTACCCTTAACCCTTATGGTAGAAGTATGTAAATAAGACGGGTCCGCAGCCTAAGAGATTACCAAGACTTTCCCAGACTTCCCTCCGCTATCACGATATCATGGTATTCGACGCGCGTGTAGACGCGGGCTTGTTATGGACGACAAGTGCTCAGCGAAGGTGGATAGATGCTATAACTTTATATGATGGAGAAATCTGACCATAGTATCGAAATAACAAGCTCAGAATGTTACTTTGGCGCGAACTCAAGAGAAGTCAATTGTAATGGCGAAGAACGGCAGAGTTTAGACACGCAAGATTGAGCTGGTTACACTTATTATATTCCGTAGGCAAAAGACCAACGGCAAAGTCACGGGTAGGATAAAGTAACTGGTTGGCCCCGGTATACCTAGGACGTAGGATGTAGGCATTGATTACTACTACGGACTACGGACAGCACTGCCGTTGTCGATTACGACCGACGGCTCCTGACTTGCAATGATTAGGGCGGCATGGTGCGTAGGAGGTAGTAGCGTGTAGCACCTGGGGTACGTAACAAGGTAATGATCACTGGCGACGGAAAGAATGAGAAGGTTATTAACTACCTACATAGGCAAGGAGTAAGGAGAGTCGCAAGAGTTGTAAGAAAGTGGGCGCAGTCGAGTCTCGGCGCAGGAGGAACCAGCGGCCAAGGCTATCCGTAAACGTTTCTGGGCAGATAATGTCGAGACAATCAGCGAATGCCAAGATCCGCCAAGATCCGCCAAGGCCTTGGCAGCTGCTTGGCACGTAAGTCACGATCGAGGAGAGGGGACTTGGGTTTGGTAGGTGCTACCCACAGTGTGTCGAGTCACTCTCGGACTCAGGTACTTAAAGCGTTTGCCCCCATTTCGACCCGACCAATCAGCTACACACCACCAGGACACCCAAGACTCACGCCAAGACTTTCCGCCTGGATGCTCGCCCAGAGCAAATGTCCTAAGGAGATGAGACGACATCCGATTTACATAAACTCCAGTCTGCCCGCTTGCATCCCTTTTCCATCTGTTGCAAAGTCTCTTAGAAACTCTTTTTCTCATTTTATTCGCAGCGAAATCTTGGCAGGAACAAACCTTGGTGCTGTTGCTGCGAGACTGCCGCACATTGTGCATTTATTCCAAAGGCCCCCACTAAACCTTGGTTGCCAAGGAAAATTCTGAAGTACCGCAAAAAAGTACCTGCCCAAACCAATCCAATATTTACCCGAGATTTTTCCACTTTCCACTTTCCACTTCCACATCACGTGCACACAAGGAGACCGGATTAATACATTGTTCCATACCGAAAACTGTCCTCATCACGTGAAGCCCTCCATACGCCATCCCCTTTTAGTAGAATAGGGGAATACCATCGCAATGTCTACTGCCCCGGACTCCAACCCGATTCAATCGGGCGGTGAAAGTTCCGCCTCCAACGGAACAACACCCGCGCCCTCGACCGCTACCACTGCAACCTCGCAGTCTAGCGTCCCGGCCGCAGATGATGCGCTGACTTGCCGCTGGGCGAACTGCTGCGAGAAGTTTGGCGCACCCGATCTGCTCTATGTATGTTCGCATTTGCATTTACGCAACGTTGATTTCCATTGGTTGTATGTATTGACTGAGGTTTGCAGGAGCATCTTTGCGAGAAGCATGTTGGTCGCAAGAGCACCAACAACTTGAATCTCACTTGCCAGTGGAATGCCTGCAAGACCACTACGGTCAAGCGTGACCACATTACCTCGCACATCCGTGTCCATGTGCCCTTGAAGCCACACAAGTGCGAGTTTTGCGGCAAGACTTTCAAGCGTCCTCAGGATCTCAAGAAACATGTCAAGGTATGTAGTATCGTAATATCGCCGATTCAGCAATGCTCGATGTTTCGGTTTACCCGAATATCCTGCTGACCTCCAATTGCAGACACATGCCGATGACTCGGTTCTCGTTCGTTCTCCGGATCACCACGGACCCATGAACGGTGCATACCGAGCTCAGGGGAAAGGACCGTCTAGCTTTTTCGATCATACTGGTCAGATCCACCAGCGTAACTCGGCCGCTTTTGGTCAGCCGCAGCACGCTGCCGGCCACCCCAACAACTACTACCAGCACCACCCACAAACCCAATATGGCGGTGCGATGTACTACCAGCCTATGGGTGGCCGAGGTGATCACATGGGCTACCAGGCCCCCGTGCCCGACTACGACAGTCGTAAACGCGGTTACGATGCGCTTAATGACTTCTTCGGTGACGCCAAGCGCCGCCAGCTGAACGTCAGTTCCTACTCTCATGTAGGAGAGAGATTGCTTCCCTTGCAAGCAATCCTCCCTATCTCTGGCTCCATGAGCAGCACGTACTCGGTGCCAGGTCCTGCCATCATGGGCGTCGACGGGCCTGCGGGTCATGGACCTTACCAGCAGCACTACTCGCTGCCACCCATGCCCAACATTCGCACCAAGAGCGACCTAGTTGAGATCGACCACATGCTAGAGCAGATGCAGAGCACCGTATACGAGAGCGAGAGCCCCAACACGGCGGCTGCCGCTGGAGTGCACCAACCCGGTGCTCACTACCTGCCGTTGCAGTACCGTTACAGCCATTCGCCCCCGCACTCTGCAGCTCCTCACTCGTCGATGGCTAATGGTGCATACTCCGCGGCGAATGTAGCTTCGCCCTTGACTGCAGTTTCAACGCACTCGAACGGAACTCCTGCCGTGACGCCCCCTTCAAGCACCATGTCGTATACTTCCGGCCATTCGCCCAGTGCTTCCTCGTCTGGTCTGTCGCCGTCTACACGACACGCTTCTACATCAATTCAATACCCTTCCCTTCCCGCGGCCACTTCCGGCTACCCTGGCCAGTCAACCACGTCTACCCTAGGTCCTAATTTCGACACGGATCCTCGCCGCCGATACTCGGGCGGCATGCTCCAGCGTGCCAACCCCGTTTCTCATCTCCAGGTCGAGCGTGAGCGACTCCAGGTTGAACGTGAGGGTTCCAACGTGCACAAGCCCGAGCTGGCTATCTCTACCGTCAGCTCCCCGTCTGCTGAATCCGAGAGCGCAGACGACCAAGTCTATGAGGACTGGCTGACAAACATTCGCGCCATCGAGTACCTCCGACAGTACGTCCAGGACCGCCTCAAGCGCAAGGACTACGAGCCCGAGAGCCCGAACTCCAGCGAGATGGAAGTCGACTCTCCGACGCGCCCGCCTTCCCAGCCGGAATACCCCCAGCTTCCCGACCCTGACAACTAGGAGTCGTTTTAATACGATATGCCCGGATATGAGTAACATGAAGGAATGAGCAAAGGGGTCGTGTCTACCTACAACAAAAAAGCAAACACACGGACGGCGTTGAGGGGGGTTGGGCTGTGTGGCAGAACTCGATCAAACAAAGGGTTCTTATGTGTCTCTCTTATGTACTTTATATCCGCTGCCAAGAAAACTGGTTCCTTTGCGAGAAGGGGGTCTAGGGATGACTCCAGTCGACGCATCGCCGAGAAGGCTAAGGGAATTAGCTAGTGTTGTGCTTGGCGATGAGACAGCATTCGGCTGTATTGTTTTTTTTTTTTTTTTTCTTTTGGTACCCCTCTATCCGTTATGGCTTTGCCTTGCGGCAGCTACTTTCCCACATAGTCGTAGATGTCCAAAATACTACTTGCGATGCATTCATAATTAAATATGTTGATGGGAATGTGATTCTATGTTGATGTTCCTCCTTGCAATTACTGTCAGGCTTTGGCCTTCCTGGCCCCCAGCCTTCCTCTAGGTCCTCTAGAAGGCATCGCGGCCTAGGATGGTAGCCTTGCAGCTACCAGGACGTGGATCAGCTATCAGGATACGGATTGGCTCCCTTGGGACTCTTCTAACAGACTCCTTTGTCTGTTATCTTGTATATACAGACAACCTCGTAGCTGTTAGATTCGTAGCTCTTCGTGCAACAACATAGTTGTTACCCTTATCTCTTGGTCGGCCTTGTGACAATTACTTTTTCCTGTAGAGTGCCTATGCGTACGCGTAGACCTTGGGTATATACCCAGGTAGTCACTGGTGCCGATGCTGTGATCTCACCTCGCGTTCATGCGTCACTCGGCTCTGCCAAGCTCATCATCTCTTCTCTCGCTCCCAAGCTTCCACCATTATAACCCTCGGCTAGATTCAAACAGCGTGTCTTAGGACTTCTATCGAATAGACCTAGGTAGCTACTCAAGTACGTATCTCAGCGGTTTACACACCACCGTATCGAAACCAGGTGAAGACACGCATACCAAACCGAGCTCAGAGTAAGAAAGGGGGGGAGGGTGGTATAGTTGAAGCCACCCCTGATAGTGCATCGATTCAGCATACTCGCAAAAGCCACTACAGTGTGAAGAGAAAGACTGTTGTCGTCTAGTGGTTTCAGGACGCCGGATATTCGAATAAAATGAATGTCTGGAGACCGGGGTTCGAATCCCCGCGGTGGTTATCGTTCTTTTTTTTTTCTCCTTTCCATCTTGCTGGATTCGCTTCATGTCGCGTTATAATAAGAATAAGCCTAGGGCTGATTCTCTGGCACGGGAAAGGGGCAAGTTATTACACACGATTATAGTTAAATAATGAGTGCTGTAGGTAGGTAGGTAGATTCTACTCCTGAGCCTGAGATGTTTCAGGCAATACGAGTAGGAAACGCATGTTCGAGGGACCTGCTGCGAAGGGCAGGATACAGACATTCGAGTAAACTCGAGAACAATCTATCTAGTGTAGTAACATGCTTCTACAAAGTACGTTTCCAAGTAGGTAGTCAGTAGGGTTGTTCGTCTGCGAAATACGTATACCCATTCACACGGAACCCTAGTGCCTAGTGGTTCTTTATTTCTAGGTAGCCAGCTCTTTCTGTTCTAGAATAGAATGGCAGGCGTTCTATTTATAGCTTAATACACTATACACTACTCACCAATCAGTCTTTGACACGCATATGGCACCTATGGAGCAGCAGTCAAGCTCGATCCTCTCGCCGAGCGGTAACGGGAGAGGAAAGACCCGGGTGCGAATCCCGGTGGGTGGTACGCTGAATGCTAAGGGTTCGGGTCGAGCTCATGGCACTTATTTTTTTTTTTTCTTTTTTCTTTTTCTTTAGTCTAGTATCACTTGGAAGACCAGATATGGGATTCTGTATCAAAATAGGAATTGTATTGGCATGATAGCATTCAGTCATTGTGGATGGCGTATCTCAAATTCAGCTAATTATTATGATAGCTTGGCTTGTACAAATATAGTAAGAGAGAATCTTGTAAACATAAGATACGTCACACACTTCCGTGTAGTCACCAGATGTCTTTTAGGAAGGTCTCGTATATCCCACATGATATATCCTTAAAGTTTCTAATTTTTTTTTATTGTATCATCCGTTTACTGATTTTATAAAAAATAGGAGGCGGGGGAAGCTTTAGATGGTGGACCATAAATTGCGTTATATGTCTCTGCGAGAAAAGTCCGTTAAACCTCTTTCGTTTGCTGTGCTCGATGTGTCCTTCTATTTGAATATTGGTCGTGCGCTGGGACGGTTGGGGGAGGTTGATCTGGGGTTGTAAAGAATATTCAGATATAGTTTCGTTTGCGGAAGGAAAATAGAGTGAATAAAATTCTGGAAGAAGAGCAGAATTCTGAAGGAGATAGCGTATGTACGCGGTAATCCTAGCTTCACATCCGACCCCGACAGTACATGCCGCGAGATCCGGAAGGGCGTCGTTAGAGCGCCTATTAGATCTTTTCCAATATTGTCAACAAATCCAGAGCACGGTTACAGGTTGGTTGGAGTAACCTGATAAGTATTTTTCTTGTCACTCGTATCTTCTTAGATGTTGAATGGCACACCTCCTCGCGTATGGGGTATGAGAAGTATTCGTTCTGCGCGGCATAGCGCTTCGGAGCGTGGTGACGAGGATTACCGAGCCGGCAGTCATGATGCGTATATAATCGTGAAAGAACCAGACCCGTCGCCGCGGTATATCTGTTGCTGTAAATTCGGTCCAAGATCGATTCAAGGGGTATCCTTCTAGAAAACAATCATCCAGGAGAGGTATTCTCTGAGTCGGTGGCTTCCAAGCGACATCTACGACACATGCACCAACCGCCAAGGCTACCGAGCGCCCACTCTCTTCGCTGTTGTACGGGTAGACTCACGTCGCAGTAGTGGTTGAGGATTTCTTCCCCAGCCTTTATACCGCCAGGTGCATCACCGACGACCCTTGTCTCTCGCGCTTTTAGCACCATTCGGCCGCCCCACTCCCAGGTGACATTGGGGTCGCAGTCGTGGTTGGCAAGGCACCAGAAAGGATGTACTGCGGCAACGTCGGGCCGTCCATCTCTCGGGTTCTTGCGGGCCGATGCGGTGCCACGGAATTTGCTGTATAGAGTATTAAACACCCACACGTCATAATCGGCAAGGGTGGCGTATATATCTATGTCCATCTTCTCGAGAATGTGGAGAGGCGTTTCGATATTGTAAGCAAAGGAAAACGGAAGGGTCCAGTCGGGCGGTGGGCCAGCATTAGGCGATAAGTCGATCTCGTTGGTTTTAGACGAAACGAAATCTCCCCAAATATACTTGATCTGGTTAATGTCAAGTGGGTTCCTCCCTTGATGAGCTGCCATGGCAAGAACACGCGCCAGGAGCAAGAGATGAAGAGTTTCATCAGCTTCTCTCGCATCAGGGTCTTTGGCGATCGAATCAACATCTTTGTCGCAGACAGCCGGATGGTAGAGAGTCTGGGCTTGCTCGTAGCAGTACTGGTCGCAAAATACCGTGTCATAGCATTCCGGACAGTTGACCGCGGTCGACTCGCTACCTAACGGCGGTAGTTCGCCGCTGCAAGCATCACAGACTGATTCCTTTAGGCGATTGTTGGCTGTGACCAACGAGTATTCTACTAGGACATCTTCTCCTGGCGCAATATCTTCCTTGGCAAATACACCGAGTTGGCTACACGTAGGGATTATGTCGTACCCGTCTGTGCGACTGGAGGATCCAAGCAGCACCGGTAACTCTGCTACTTGGACGGTGCATTTGGGTGCTATACTGGCCAGTTCGCTATTGAGAAAATCCAAGGAATCCTCTGAGAATCGATTGGGTTCGTAGCTGTTCCAAGGATAGACTTCCCTGCGCACCATGCCCCAATCTGGAAGATCGTTGACGCCAGAAGATGGCCTGCGTGTTCTGCGCTCAGCAACGGTTTGAATGTAGCTCCGTGTGTTTAGAAGCTCTTGGTTCTGTGGCGAAAGAGCGAGCCCACGCTCGCAAAAGTTGGAGGCACTCTTCAGGCAGCCGCATAATAGGAGGTTCAGGGATAAGATTTGGTAACATCGAATAGACGTAAGGAAAGCAAGGGCGGGGATATCTTTAGCACCGCCGTCTAATTCGGGCAAACGAGACTGAGCTCCGGATAGAGACCCATGATCGAGCACATCTAAAAGCGGACCATCCGCGTGGGTTGTTAGAGCTTCGAGCGCTTGCTCGTGGTACTCGAAGCTCTCATCGCGAACCTCGTCGGTCAACAGTAACGCACGGTATGCATCGCCAGCTGCTAGATCGGGATAGGCTAGATCGGCATATACCAATGCGCGCTGTATGTAAATGACTAGGTCGTAGGGACGAACTAATAGATCGTCCGTCAATGATTGGCGCTGGCGTAGAAGTGACTCGATTCGAGTGTCGACTTCTTCCTCGGACTCGTCCATCACTCGACCACCGCTAGTGCTCTTTTATACGTAGGACTCGAGATGGATACGGTAGGGGACCTGGGATCTGGGATCTGAGCAACGATAGGGGATCTGAGCAGCAGGCAAGCAGGTGGGGGGGATTGGTCCGCACTTCGGGTCAGGGGCACGTCATTGCTTAGTCGTGCTGGGATTCTTTTCGCACTCCGGAGAGAGAGCTGGCCACGGGATCGGCGCGGCGGGCTCAGGATCTTGATACCGGGTGGCGCGATGGTGTTGGCCTGCACCGTGAATCTTGATTTTGAGCGACGTGGTCTGCAAAGTCGGTGATCGTCGCCGCGCGTTTTCGTTCTCGGTATAGTTCCCCTCTCCGTTTTCGGGTTTCCGTATTTCCGTTTTCTTCGATTCTGGATTCTGGGTTGGTGACGAAGAAGTAAGGTCCTCAGAGGGGCAGCAGCAAATAGTGTCTGTGGGTATAGAAACGAAACAGTACCTGGGAAGAGACAGTGTGTTTTCCTTTTTCCCTCTGAGGTCCTCTCCATACGGCAACCACTTCAACCAACGAAAAATTGTTGCACAAGTCCGACGGACCCCTCCAGGAATGTGGCACGATCCTGAGGTGGAGCTGTTGGAAAATCTGATGGAACGATCACCGATCACCGAAGGACCCTTGGTGCTTCCGCAAAAATTCAGGGTCCACTGGCTGCCGGCCCCAGGCAGTTTTCACTACCTAACCTACCTGGTACCTAACCAGAAGGCCTAGATTAGCAGGCCCAGACCACCACATCTGCACATGTGGTACCCAGTAGGTTACCCACTAGCGGGGCCCGCACTAGGAGCTACCTAGGTACTGTGGTATTTACTATGTAAACACCGAGTATTTCCGCCAAAATCCTTCGAATTATTTCTATATACTATTCAACCTACCTCCTCAAGAATATTGATAGGGTCTAGGTCGGAAAGAACTTCCTTTCAGATGTTGATAGACATTGATAATAATGCAGCATGACCGGCGTGTTGCTTGTTTTCTGCCTGTGGAGTTGTCGTCCGCCACCTTTCGCTACGGCTCATCCAATGGATTTATTATCAGCAATTCAGAAACCGCGTCAACGAAACACCAATATCATATCGCATTCCGAAGTTTCCGCTTATCAAAAGTCGATAGCGAATGGTGTGATTTTAGTTTGGTCGGTCTGCAGAAGCTCTCTGCAATGTAACGCCGACGCTCACTACGGGACCAGTCGGCTCCACTATCAGACCTCTTATCGCGTGAAACTAGAAAATGCCTAAATGGCTGAAAAAAGAAAGTAGGCGACGGTGATGGTCTCGATAGATAATCCAACATATTACTCATTAGGTAACCATTATGACAAGTCAATTTGCTGGTTTCGTCCCACTGATAATAGAGATAGCGCCATGCTTCTACTACTTATATCCGGTGCGGCTTTTATGTTTTTGCATGTAAACCACCATCGAATTAGATTGAATAGCGCATTAAACCGAGATAGTTAGATTTGGCTTAGTTATAGTCAATAGATCGGAAGCCAGTTCAACTATCTTGTACAACTTAGATTGACAATTCTTCACTGTGAATTATGGAATGTATACATGTTTTAAGTTATTGTCAAAGTTAGGAAGACAAGGTGATGCTGGCCCAGTAGTGGAGATAAGTAGGTAGTCATCTAAGTGACAATGCCCACGCATAGATACACGGCATAAGCGCAGTGACAAATTTGTACACTTTATTTGATCAATTTTTGAAGTCATAC